CTTGGCCTCTCCCTTGCAAGCAGCCACGGGGCTCATCGCAGCCAGGCTAGGACCAGGAGCTATGGGGCTGGGGGCTCCCCCCTCGGCCTGCCCTCTCCTCACCCCTGGCTGCTCCATGCCCTACCCATCACCAGCCTGTCTAGCTGGGAGGCCAGGGGCAGCCTCCAGTTTTACCCCACACCCTGCATCCCAGACCAAAGAGGACCGTACTACCCAAGACCCCCAGGTTTTGGGGCGCTGCAGGCCATAGGACAGGTCCTGCTCTGCAGTAGGGGGCAGTGAGGCCACTGATCCCCCAAAATCTCCCGCCCAGGGGCCTCGCATCAGCTGTGCGTGCAGGGTCCCCATGTTTCATTGACACGCAGAGCCTGCTCTCACCCACTCCTCATCCGCAGAAACTTATTTGAATAATTTGCCTTGCAAATCTGCAAGCACCAGTTCAAATCGCACGTCATCGGAGCCCACCACCGTGCATGAGCCATGCGCGGGGCAGCCACGGCGGGGACACAGGCACGGCTCCTGGCGCCGCACAACAAAGCACCACCCAGCTGTACAGTGACACTCAGGAATGTCATTTGCCGCTCCCATGTGGTCACATCCCATCAGGAACATCGGAGCACCCGCTAATGAAATCCAGTGGGGGCCTCCAGCCCTGCAGCAAGCACCCCATCACCCAGGCAGGCAAGAGACAGGGCTGGATATGGCCTGTGAATCGAGGCGGTAAATCTGATAAGCTATCAGCTGGCACCACGATTAGTTGGATAATTAAGGACAAGGAGCCAGATTTTGAGCTTATTTGCCACCGGTGTAAACACAGAGTTAAGTGACCTGGCTGCTCCTGGGGATCAGGAGCTGTGACCCTCACAGCCAGCGCATTAAACGCATGATGGTTCCTCTTCTTTTAAAAAATACAGAAAAAAAATCACCCCCCAGCATCCCAACACCAACTGCTGGGATTGCAGGGTGAGAGGAGGGAATGAGACCATCAGGCAGGGCTTCAGTACAGGGCCAGGTCAGTGGGGTAAGGACTCGACAGAGCCGGGGTGAGGGTTTGGGAAGTGCAGATACAAGGGGAGCTCCTGCAAAGGGGTCTCTGCGCTGGCAGAGCAGGCTGAGGTATTCTGAGCTCCAATGCCCTAAAGGGAGGGAAAAAATGAGTTGGAGGAAGGTTAGAAGCAAAGCAGCAGAGGTCTAGGCTAAGTTACAGCATTTCTGGTTTGGTTAAAGCAGACAGACAAACCCCAGCCTGCCTCCCCAGGCCCCACCACCAAGTCTCCCCTAATTTGGCACCCTAGAAATTGCCAGACAACTGGTGCAGGCTGGAGCATCCCTCAGGGACCAGTTCTGGGTGAATTCAATCCCTCCTGAACACTGCCTCCTCCAGGGGACACATCCTGGTCCCATGCTGCCCCAGGCAGCCTGAAGGAAGGGGTGGCCTCAGCACCCACCATGGGCAGGTGACCTACCTGCAGCAGACATTGCAATGGAAGGATTTTTGTGATGGGTTTCTCATCCCCACCGCACCAGCCAAATGCAACCCCCAACAACATCAGATTATAGAGGGACAGCAGGAGCATTGAGCACCCCAGATCCACACACCCCAGCTCCCTTCCACTTCACCTGGATCTCTGATGGCTTCCCAGCCTAACCTGTCTCCAAGAGCAGCCAGAGGCCATGCAGGGGGCACAGTCACAGCTCTCCAAAGAGCACAGCCAAGAGAAGGGGCTGTCTCACCTGTCCTGAGCACAGCAGCAGGGGGATGGCACAGCTCCACAGCTAGGAGCTGGGCCCACAGCGCCTCCCCATCAACACCCTGTACCTCTCTACCCCCTCTCCAACTCTCCTCCCAGCCCAAGTCCAAAGCAAAGAACAAAAGGAAGGAGAGAAAGAAGGGGAGAAAGAAATAAAACACTAAAACAAATGAAAACTAAAACATAAAGCAGCAGTTGGGAGGCAGCCTTGTTAGGACAACTCAGCAAAATAAAATTCCGGTTTATTGTTGGACAACATTGTTTCACACATACATCAAACAGGCCAAAAAAAAAGAAAAAAATAAAAATAAACAGCAACTTCATAGACAGAAAAAAAAAAGAAAACCTTTTTATCTTTGGCCTTGCCACCTCATACAAACCACGATCTATGGTACAGCTAAAGTACATACACAAAAAAAGTTACTGGAATGCTCAGAATAAGATTGTAAATTTTTTTTTTTTGCATTTTTGTCTTTTTTTTTAATTTTTTTTTTTTACAAGGTTTTGTTTTATTCTCCTTTGAGATAATGGTTTGGGCCTGGTCACACCACAAGTAAAGTCAGAGATAGGTAACGAGAGATATACACTTCAAAGCCCCCCTTTTGGTCAATCCGAGATCACTTAAAAATGGCGGACCTCCTAACAATATGTACAAAAATATAAAATGTAAATAAAAAATACAAACAAATTCTCCTTTAAAGTACTTTTAAGAAAGAAAGCAGGGCCTTGAAGTTTTGGTGCTTGGGAGGGAAGGGGTCTGTGGGGGAAGGGGGGGTTTCTCTCCCCGCTAACGGGCGAATCGTTCTTCCGGACAGACGAAGCGGAGGTACGGAATGGCCTTTTTTGTTGGTTTGTTTTCCTCCTTATTTAAAAAAAAAAATAATAATAATTTGCTGCCTAGTCATCTTCATCGGTTTTCTGCTTCTTGGGATCGACGTCGTCGTCCTGGGGGGAAAGCAAAGCCGTCAGGAGAGGAGATGGGGAGCAGGGCTGTCAGGGGAGCTGGCGAGAGCCACACCAAGGCGGCAGCAGGGCAAGAGAGGGTTTGGGGGGACAAGGACAGAGCCACAGAAGTCTTCCCCCCTCATGCAAAATCCCCTCTCTCAGCCAGCTCAGGAAGCCCTGAAGCACCTCCACCCTGGCCCACCATGAGCACCCCAGGGCTCCCCAACCCAGGGCCCATGGCTCCATGCAGCCAGAGCGGACACCCTGCTAACCAGGCCAGGGTATAAAGGGAACTGGGCCACGTCCCCAGAGAGGGACAGGGAGTGCATAGGCAGGGCGTTCCAGCCCCAGAGCCCAGCCCAGCCTCCCCACCGCTGCTCCCTCCAAAGCCCTCTGGGGACATGGGTGGCTCCGAGGGGCTGGCTGCTCTCCCTACCTCATCATCCTCAGCTGCCCGTTTGCCTGTGGCTCCCTCAGCTTCATCATCTTCATCACCGTCTTCTTCCTCACCTGCAAGAGGAAGAGGAACTTGAGACCCTCTCAGAGGGTTACAGCACCATGCACCTCCCCTCTGGGTTTAATTCTGGCTCAGCCCCACACTGTGATGTCCAGGGTCCTGTCTCCCCAGCTGGCACAGCCCTTGCTCAGGAGAGCACGTGCCCAAGCATGGGGGCTTTTGGGGCATCCCCCAGCTGACTTGGCCCACCAAAGGGGAAAGAAGGCTCAGCAGCATCAAGTCCGGCTCACACCGCGTTTATAGAGTGGGCAACAAGACAGCAAAACCAGCACCTACTGCGAGTGCTGAAATCACAGCAAAAAGGGGAGGAAAAAGAAAAAAAAAGGGGAGAGGAAAATACTCTTTCTAGTGGCTGCTCCACCTAACCGCTCCAGATTACTTCTGCTTCCCTTTGCAGCTATTAGTCCATCTTTAATGAGTTAAGAGAGCCAGAACGCATTAGTTCTGAGTCAGAACACTTTCTAATTATGAGAACAGCAAACAAATGCTACCAACTTATCTTACAGCCAGAGAGGAGGATGAGCAGAGAGCTCTGGGCTTTGACCCACTTTGAGCTCAAATAGGCCAGTGGATCAGAACGACCAGATCCATTGCCTTCGGCCAGTTTTGGGGCATCAGGGGCAATACCAAAGGCCCCAGAGGAGGCACAACCTCTCGGCTGCCGAGACAAGTCTCTTGTGTAACAGAAGACCCTACTAAAACTTAGAGCGTTAAGGCCAGTAAGCTGGCTTTAAACCACCGCCACGAGCCACACGTATAGACAGCCAGCGGGATTAAGGTCAGCCCATCCTCCCTTCCCCTCTCCAGCATGGGCCCAGCCACGGCATGTCCCATGCAGCGGGAAGGGCCAAGATTAGCTCCCAGCAATGGATCAACACCCCGGCAGCCATCACATGCACCGGGCTGGCCGGCAGGTCAGGTGACAGCACCAAGCTGATTGGGAGCATTTTTAGTTCTTTGAGCTGCTTTAAGCAAAGCAAATAATGAGATGGGATGGGGAAAAGGGTGAGAAAAAATATACCCTCAAGCTCCCCTCTGCTGTCAAACTGCAATGGAGTTTGGCCACAAGTGTTGGGAAAAAAAAAAAAGCTGATGCAAGCTGCACTCGCTGCCTTCAACTCTCCTGCAGCGTTCAGCTGCTCAGGTGCAGCTCTCAGGCAGGGATCACCCAAGGGCAGTGGGCATGGACAGACAGAGCCTGTGCGGGATCCCAGCGAGGCATTCGTGTCTCCAAGCACTGCGTGCCAAATCGTGCCTGTGCTCGGCGAGCTGGGCTGGCACTGCAGGACCGAAGCTCCCCAGGCTTGTCACAGCAGTATCCAAGCAACACTTCCACCCCGCACACATGCGCCTGCAGCACACGCATCCCCCTCCTGCCCAAGGGGAGCAGGGAAAGACAAATAGTCCCCCACTTGCACCCCGAAGCAGGGTTGGAGGTAGACAGGCTCAGGACAGCACACAGCAGAACTGTGCTCTGTCCCCAAGGGTTAAAATCCTGAGTATAAACAGGGCCACTATTCCCAGTATTTCCCTAGCAAGCCAGTTCCTACCAAAGGGCATGGCAGACAGCAGAGCACTGCCTCAAAGGAGGGAGCTTCCCTGCTTCCGACATCTGAATAGGCACTGGCCTAACGGTCATTAAATTTCCAGCCCTGTCCCTGTCTCCCAAAACCAACCAACAGGTTAGTAGGTCAGCACATAAACTGAAAATTAACAGGGGATTAACCTACTAACAGCTAATCAAGGGCCCCGAGTTCATTTCAGCATAACAAGAATGGTTTTCTCCCAGCCTTAACAAGTGATAAAAATAAACAATGTTATTCATCCAAGTAGATCTTGGGGGAAAAAAAAAAATAGCAGGGATGGTGAGAAGTGATTCGGCAAGTCACTGCTAGATTTCTGGTTGCTGCTGCCAAAACCCACTTCCAGGCTGGGTCGGGTCAGGAAGGGGAGGGCAGGGAAACACAGGACACTGCAGACAGGGAAGGTTCAAAGCAAGCCTGTCCGCTCCTGTTGGAGGAGCAGGGAAGTGCTGCAGGTTCCTCTGCCCGCTTCCACACAGCTTCCAGCCTGGGAAAGGGCTGGGAGAAGAGGGACCACATCAGGCTCTGAGCATGCTGCTCCAGGAGCAAGGATGGTGACCTATCCCCTGCTCCAAGGCACAGCCATCCAGGGCTGTCCCCATCCCATCAGCTGGCACTCGCATCTGCGGCAGCCGTTGCGATCACAAGAGTCAAGGGCAGGTTTTACTACTCGCACGGAAGGGCTAATGCGCTTATTCAGCACTGTGGTACAGTGCTGTCTGGCCAGAGGAGGGAGGAAGGAAGGAATCTGCTCTCAACCTGCTGGAAGGGATTCAAGGCTGATTTCACTCCCAGCACCAATGGCCTGGGCAAGGAAGGAAGGAAGGACAGAGCCTGGCTGGCAAAAGCTGCCCAGCCACAGCCGCAAGGGGGAGATGCTGCTCTCGGCTCTCCTCTGCTTCCTGGGAGTCTGCTGTATGGGGCAGGACACAGCCATGGGATGGGGGCAGGGGGAACAAAGAAAGTTACCATCACCCTCTTCCTCTTCGTCCTCTTCCTCACCACCTTCCTCTTCCTCTTCGTCTACTTCGTTGTCAGCCTCCTGCTCTCCGTTTTCCTCGTTCTCCTTGGCAAGACAAAATATCACTTAAAAAAAATGCTCTGGGGAGGGGTAGAAGGGGGAAAAAGATGCTCAGCAGAAATGCATGTCCCCCACCTTTCCTGCCTAAAGCAAAGCACCAGGGCCCCGGAGCCCCGGGTGCACGTCCTGCTTCCTGCCTGCTCCACACAGACACTGGCAGCCCAGGCACCAAGGATGGAGTCTAGGGTAACTTGGGGCTGCAGCTTTGAGGCCAAGACAAGGGCTGCAAAGGCTCTTGTGACACTCAAATGCAGCACCATGAATTTTCCCCAGCATGTTAAAAATAGGAAACCAACGGGTTTACTTGTGCACAAGATGTTTCCCCGCTCAACCGATTGCAACACTGTAAATCTACGGTGTTTTTCCTAGGAAGGAGGTGGCACTGTACACAACCTCAGACAGCTTTCGGGGAGGGGATCCAAGCCCAGCCCTTCCGTTCTGCACACACATGAACTGCCCACAGGCTGAGGAGCGTCTGTTGAACCTGAAGCCCCAAAGGCTCGGGGGCTCTGCAGGGTGCAGTGCAGCCATTTGGAGGGGTCCCCTCTCAGCAGGCCTGGGGACAAGCTCACAGCAAAAGCAAGAAGGGGGAGGAAAAAAAAAAAAAAAAAAAAGGCGTTGGCGTAAGGGCTGCCTCTCCCTGCAGATCTTAGCCATACTCACAGCATTGCCGTTGGCTGGTGCATCTCTGCCATTTTCTGTTTCTTCAACAACTTCCTTCTTCTCTTTTAGATCCTGGAATGAGGAGAAAAGCAGAGAAGTCACCCCAATTCCAGGTGCCTAGGTCAGAGAAGCTGCAGATCAGGTGTGAAAAACACAGTCCGGGAAAGAGCAGGAGCTGGTTTCTCTTCACACCGATTTGCTCTGCAATTTGGTTGCCACATTCTGGCTCCTCCTTGAGAACGGGAGAGCGTGGGGGCGAATCTCAATCCAAGTCAGCCTTGCCAGAGAGCAGCTATCTAAAAAAGAGGCTGCTCTGTTTCACCTCTGAGCTCCCAAACACACAGAGCTGGCTGCCTGCATATGCCCAACAGCAGCAGAGCTGGCTGATTGCCCATCTTAGCACAGTCCACGCAAGCTCCTGCAATACCATGGAGAGCCGGCAGCCTTGTCCAACGCATGGGCTCCGCCACCCCAGGGCTGCGGACATCCATGGCTACTCTGTACCTTTGCAGCAGGAACAAATCTCAGGGACTCATTAGCAGAGACAACGGTCTCTGCCCTGCCCAGGAAAAAAAAAAACAAAACAAAACACCACATATACAGCAAATGCTACACGCCTGGTCTTTCTCGCAGCAGCAGAGAGGGAGACTCCAGAATCCAGCACACAGCTTCAAATGTAACAGGATGGGGTGGGGGGAAGAAGTCTATTTTTACACTGCTCCAAGAACGGTGCCTGGCTAGTTCGGTTCAAATCTCCACCACGAGCAAAGCGAGAGGAGAGCAGGAGCTTGTATGTTTTTGCTATTGATCACCGTCAAAATGTCATGCCAAGTCGCTCGGCAAACAGGCTGAGAGGATCCAACTTTATGTTCCCGCATAAAGAACACTTGGATTTAACACTGGCATCTCTGCTCGCATCCTCCTCCCCTTCTGTTCCTCCATCAGCTGGAGTGAGATCCTTCAGCACAAGGAGCGTTACCCCAGCCAAGGAAAGCAGAGAGGCCCTTCCCCAGGGCCAGCAGCACAGCCACACAGCCGGCTTCAGCAGCGACCACGAGGTGTTTAGAAGTTGCTGGCAGCTCCCCGCTCCGTTGCGGCAGCAAGCGCCCTTACCCCCCCCACCCCCCCGCCTTTTGGGGCTGCCTTGCTGCCCGCAGCGAGCAGGCACTTTCACTCCTGCCGAGCCACCGTCACTTCCTCGTGGGAACGCCAGCGGGTAAGAGCATGGCCCTGCTAGCATGACCCGTTTTGGGAGGGTTTCTACTGCCCCACGGGGGGGTGTTAGACCACCAGGTTATTTAAACCACTCAGACGGGCACGCACAGATGCTGTTACCAGAGGCACCCAGGCTGCAGAGGAGAGGCTTTCTTTGGAAGGAAGCTTTGGGGCGACAACACCTGTTGATCGAACCTCACCCAAACCCAGCACCCAAGGAGCCCAGGGTAAAACAAAAAACACGAGCTCCCTCCTCCTTTCGCTGCTCACGTACGAATCCCAGGCCGTCTCCTCCACGCCACCCGATTCCACCACAGTTTTACGCTGTCAGCGGCTCCTGCTCCCCTGTTCCCTGGAGGCCGATCACAACCATTTAACCTCTCACGCACTGTCGCGCTGCTGCGCTCTGCAGCCGCTGCCTCACATCAGGCAAACAGGCATGAGGGCGACAAAGCATTTCCAAAGTTAAACACTGAGCAAATCGAGCAGAGTTTCCACGTCTCACTACACCCGACAGTTCTTTTCAAAAAGGAGTCCTTCACAAAACGTAAGCAAACCTCCCGGTGAAGGAATAACTCAATTCTTGGGGATTTTAGCTGGACAGATCTCCAGCCCTGACCTTTCCCGCACCGCTGAAGACGCTCTCAGTTTAATGACCATCAGGATGCCAGGTCATGAAGTTTGTGCTAGCAACAGGGTTGCAGAAAGCGCTGCGGCTTCTCCCCTTCCCCGGTCCAATACAAACAGACGGACGTGCACAGCAGCCTCCAGACCAGGAGTCCGTGCAGCAGGGCTGCTTTAGCTCCAAAGCTTTGACAGAGCCTCTAATTATAGGTGTGGCGAGGCTGTTTGTCCATAAAATAGCAATGGGGTTTAGTCATACGCCAACTGCCCAGCAGGCTCTACCTTCGCTCCTGCTCTGTTCCCGGGGCGCGAGGGCCCGCAGCTCCCACGCAGGGGTCCGCAGC